TACATTGGTATGCATGTGGATCATTGCTGCATACATGAAAATTGGTTAACTTTCCAGCTAGGCTGACCCCCCCCCCCCTGGCTCCTGGTCTATATACTTGATCAGTTTACAGTACAGCAGCATATGCGCATGCAGATCCTCACCTGACTCTTTTTAACTATCCTCTGTATAATTACTACACGCGCTATTTTTCAACTTTCAACCCTCAACATCAACATCAACATTAACATCAACAATTAAGGTCAACATCAACAATGGCCCAACACCGTGTGGTTGTTCCTACAACCTCTAGTGTATTTTTGTGTTTGTTGACTATTCTCCTATGCAAAAATTTGCAAATTCTTCTCCGAAACAGTTTGTCAAAATGAAAACATATGTGAGCTTCAATTGTCAATACATGAATGCACAACCCACGGAAGATGTGCTTTTTTGCAATTACGTCATTATGACGTCAGAACGGGTCACGTGTCGTCACTTCAAAAACTAATCAATTTAATCTTTGAAATTCAATATAAAATCAACCGTCAGAGACCGCAACTTGAATTTTGCGGGAATCGACATGATTAGACATGACTTTCAATTTATCTTGTGCGTGCAAAATCACCTGATTCTTTCTTCCGGTCCAAACCGGAAGTGCCTAATAATTTTAAAAGGGAAAAAGATATGAACTTGCTTTTAATGATGTTAGTGTTTGGATGGTTGACATTTAAAAAAAACGTGATCGGTGACGCCAAGAACAGTTCGAGCTCCCTGTAGCGGCAGGTTAAAAAAATGTCCAAAACAAATTTTTAAGTGGATGTCTATGGCGAATTTTGTGGTAATTGCCTCAAAATGAATATACATGATGACCTTAATGCAGACAAGACCTGTATGCACAAAAAAAATGATTACGTCATCAGACCGGAATTTAAAAGGAAAAGACCTTTTTTCCTTTGAACATTCCTGGAAAATCAACCCTGAGGGATTTAATCTCTTTTTGTTGGTTAAATGGCAGATTAGAAATAGGTCTAAAACTTCCTCATGTTTCGTGCCAATAAGTGAACTTTTAGATGTCATGCAGCCCCCTTGAAATGTGAAGTTGACGACGCCGTATACGTCTTGAAACGTTTGTTCCGGACAGAAACATTTATGAATGAACGTTTGTTTACATTCGTTGCAAGTGCCGATGGAGGGCGTTCTTTCAGTAACCAAGTAACGAACACGTAAGTGAAAAGCAACATGACGCGTGACGGCTGTCATTGATCGGAAAGACTTCATTTTGGGAGAACTGTGGTAGTTTGAGGCCACAAACTGAACTGATAATTGACTCTACTATCAGCTGAGTAAGATCACTTTGATTGGTTGTGTTTGGAAAAATGGAAACATATAAGAACTTCATTTGTCAATTCATGAATGCACAACCCACTGAAGATGTTCTTTTTTGCAATAACGTCAACATGACATCATCATGGGTCACATGACGTCACTTCAAAAAATAATAAATTTATTCTTTGAAATTCAATATAAAATCAACCTCGAGAGACCGGAACTTGAATTTTGCGGGAATCGACATGAATCTTGTGCGCGTAAAATCCGTGACCCTTCCTTCGGTCGAAACCGGAAGTGCCTAATAATTTGAAAGTGGAAAAAGATATGAACTTGCTTTCAACGATATTGGGGTCTGACTGGATTGACCTTTCCAAAAAAATAATGGGTGACGCCATGAAGAGTTGGAGCGCCCTCTAGCGGCAGGTTAAAAAACATCAAAAACTCATTTTCACTTGATGTCTGTGGCGAAGTTTGCGGTATTCGCTTCAAAATTAATGTTCATGATAACTTTAATGCAGACAACGGCTGTACGTGAAAAAAAAAAGAGTAGGTCATCAGACCGGAAGTTACAATAAAAAGTCCTTTAAACCTATTTTGCTAGTTTCACACACCATTTTGGACCTCTGTTGGTAGCCCCTGGGGAGCCCTTATGTAAACCAAACTCCACTCCCTGCTCCACAGTCCCAGAGAGATAATGACTTGGGGTTAAATGAAATACCACCTGTTAGCCACACAGCTTTCTGGAACTATACTCTCTAATGAAATGTGGTTTTATGCTAGCATAACAGTAACAGATCGTTCTCAGCCATTTATTCACGGATTTTCACATTTCAACATATAAAACAAGTTAACATTTCAGGTACATCATTAATATAATACTTTTGTTGGCCGACAGATTAAATTTAGCAACCAAATATTATGCTTGAAATCTCTCAGGCAGAGTGACCTTCACTCCTATTAGGAATCAATTATAAGATAAGTGCTTATAAATATCTTAATCTCTTAGGGCAGCTAGGCTCTCCAAAATGGTGTGTTCCAACCGGAGTTGCCTATATGGTTGGTCGGGTTGGTCTTAGGACGAGTGTTCACGTCATGCCACACACATCAACTCAAAATATGCATGTTTAAATCCATGTTTGACTTTTTCAACATGCCGCCAGAGGGCGCTCTAACATTTGATAACGTCACCTGTAAATTTTTTGTACAGTACTGCCTAGGCAGACACTCACATCGTTGAAAGCAAGTTCGCATCTTCTGCCAATTTCAAATTATAAGGCACTTCCGGTTTGGGCCGGAAGGAAGGATAAAGTGATTTTGCACTTAATACCAAAAATGAAGACCCTGCAATATTGTATCGATTGCCATAAGAAACAAAATCAAATCTGTAGCATTTGATTTTATATTGATTTTCAAAGATTAAATCTAGAAATCTTTGATTGCTTGCAATATGATACTTGATGACGTCATTGTGATGTTATTACCAGAAATTTCAAGAGCTATTTCAACTGTGCTATAGCCCAATCTGGATTATATCTATCACGGTTGATTTTTGAAGGTCTTTTTATTGTAACTTCCGATCTGATGACGTAATCATTTTTTTTCGCGCATATGTCTTGTCTGCTTTAAGGTCATCATGTACATTAATTTTGAAGTGAATACCGCAAACTTCGCCACAGACATCAAGTGAAAATGCGTTTTTGATGTTTTTTAACCTGCTGCTAGAGGACGCTCTGACATTTGATGACGTCACCTGTAATATATTTCTGAAGTACAGCCTAGGCAGACACTCACATGTTTGAAAGCAAGTTCGTATTTTCTGCCAATTTTAAAAACTAAGGTACTTCCGGTTTTAACCGGAAGGAAGGGTCACATGATAGAAAGTGATGGTGGTCAAAAGGTGAAAAGTAAAAGTTAAACAGAAGGACAATATTAATCTTAGGGTTTAACACTTTTGAAATAAATTTAGAATTATGAGCTTTTAAGAAAAAAAAATTGAAGTGATAGCTGATAAGGACTGCATTAAAGCAAGCCCGACTAAATCTAGAATGCATCAGCGGTAGGTAGATACATCTTCGCGTTGTACTGAATAAGGATAAGATTTGTTGGGTGTATAGCCAGTATGAATTAACATGCAATACTGGCCTGAGTTTGACAGGCTAGGAAAGCAACATGTGATGGTGAGCTTGTCTTACATACGCAGTGTGGACTTCCGAACAAAAGACGTCCACATAATGTAGGTAGCAGCGACGAAGTGTGGACTTGCCCACGTCCACACAGTGTTTCCCCATTTCTGGAAAACAGGTTTAGAGGCATTTTTGGGTTAGGTTTATCTGTAGCAGAATGAAGAGAAACACTAAAGGGAATCATTGAAAAAAAATTGGGTTGTAAGAGTTTTCACAGTTTGAGAAAAATGAGTTTTTCCACTGGTGTTCCTTAACTACACGAAAAGAAAGGAAAGTCCACACTAGGTATGTGAAACAAGTCTGGGTGTGCCAACGTGTGTTCACGGTGGCCATTAAGTTAGCGCGCATGCACATGAAAGGTAAAACCTAGTTACACATAGCAAAAAAAGTGATCTAAGGTTTCGCACCCTAATTTCTGTAAAACTTTTTTTTGCTGGATAAGTTACATTAAAAGTGAGGAAAGTATCGTTGAGTGTTCAGAGCACATTTAATGAGCACATTCAGGCTAAATTATCACTTATTGTTTAATTTCTAAGCGATTCGGCTTAAAAATGTTGTATAATAATCTTACGACACTCTTATTTCGATGAATTGTTCGAGTTTCGTGAAACAAAAGTTGGTGTATATTTACTCAATTTTCTAAGTGAGAATCTGTTTTTGTTTTCAAATTATGGTTCCTTGATTTATTACAAGCATACAAAATTAAGCAAAATTAAGAGTGAACCATATATACAGTGATCTCAGGTTACAAATAGCAAGTCCTATGAACCATTGGAAAGTCTAGTGGTTTGGTAACCTGTTGAACTTTCAGCTAGTGAACTTCTTGTATCGATGGTACCACACGGTACCGAGACTGAAAAGCGGCGGATGTGCGTGCAATAAAATGTTGAACAAAAACAAATCAACATGCCACGGATGTCACAAAGGCAAAGCGAACTGATCCCGGATGAAGAGTGAAGCATATACAGTGATCTCATGTTACAAATAGCAAGTCCCTTGGACCATTGGAAAGGCTAGTAGTTTGGTAACCTGTTGAACTTTCGGCTATGACTTTCTTGTATCCGTGGTACCACATGGTACCGAGACTGAAACACGGATGTGTGTGCAATAAATCATGTTGAACAAAAAACAAATCAACATGCCACGGATGTCACAAAGGCAAAGCGAACTGATCCCGGATGAAGAGTGAACCATATACAGTGATCTCAGGTTACAAATAGCTGCACTGACTGATAGTCAACTGTGAATTATTCTGGTGCAGTTTCTAACTTTCCAATTCCAACTCACTGGCACACCATTAAAATAAAAGGTCTTGTTGTTTCCTTTAATTTCATACCACATTTGAGCTTGTGATTCATGTAGCTCTAAAGATCACTTCCGCGTGGAATTTCTAGTCTTTATTCCAAACATAAATGGCATTGTAGGTACAAGTTTTCATGCTAAAGAATGAGATTGAAGCTGGAATGAAGACCAGTGTGTTACAGCTTTTCATTTATCATTGGCAAACAGGTCTTCCATTTGTGGCTGGGTGATCCAAAGTACCATGGCTGCTCAATCTGAAGCAGCCTGCCAGACTGCTGTCCCTACCACGATGCAACAGGAGGCACAGGTACCCACCCCCTCAGCTGCAACAGGTGAGTACATTTAGTAGCTAGACCATTTGCATGGGGTCAATGAGGGAGGGAGGGGCATTAACTCCCCCTCTCCACTCAACTCACACATTCACACACTCCCCAAGATTTTTTTGAAGTTGCAGGTTTCAACTTTGGACAATCAGATTTCTCTATATACATGTATCTTCTTTAAAGGTAGAGTAGATCATTTGCAGCTATCCAAAAAGTAACTGACCAAATTATTTTTGAAAGCTTACTTTGGTTTAAAGATAGTAATTGGACAAAGAAGACATTAAAAGAAGTCATTACCAAAGATTGTGCATTGAACAATTTTTGGAAATTTCCATTAGTAGTTGGTTTGTAATTGGGTGAATCTGTGAATGGGTGCGCGTGAGCATTGACACGATGCACATGCGTGCGTGGTTGCTATTATTTGTTTGGTCAGTGCGTGACATAGCGTCGTTGCAATCGGCTGCAATCAATTCAAAACAAGGTTCTGCAACTTTGATTTGAAATCGAGATCCTGAAAAATGATTTTCTCGGAATAAACAGCATTCACTGAGCTGAAAGTTCAGCAGGTTAGTTGTTGAGCACCCATCTTTAGATTTTGAGGACTGTTGTTGCTTCAAAAGAAACAAATGCAAATATGAGGCCAAACAAAAAAATGGTGTGTTTACGCCGAATCACCCACCTCAAATTGTTTTTAATTAGGTGAGGCAAGTTTTAATCAATTTTGCTGGCCAGGCACAAAATAAACATGATTCCTTGCTCTATACTAATACTATCATGATTCTCCATAATCAGCATCCCCCCCCCAAAAAAAGTGGTGAAATAAATTTTCCGACCTACCGACGCTATTTTGAAAGGCATGTAATCGGAAGCAAAAGTGTTTTTTTCTTCACCTTAATTTCTTAATTTGAAACTTACTTGTAAATGTAATCCATACTTTTCTAGTTCAGGAAGCTAAACACAGGTTATGAAATGTTGATTTTTTTTAAGTTAACAATTTTGATTTTTTCTTTAATTACAAAAATATTAGGGGCCTACAGGATCTCCTCTGAATTTTAAGGAGAAATCTTAAGTTAAAGACCCCCAGATTTGCTCTAAAGTGCACCAGAGAGCTTCCAAAGTTCAAAACCCCAGGCCATGGCTTCGCAGGTTGTTGAATCGCAGCAGAACTTCCCCACAGGTTGCAAAAATCCTGGGGAGAACCCTGGGACGGTACAAATTTATAATTTGGAATGAAGTGTATCGATTGAATATCTTGAATGCTTGAATAATTGAATAATTTTTTTATACATTTTTTTTTGCGAAAAAACACACATGGGCATGCAGAACTGAAATGAAAAAAAAAAATACAAAATAAAATTATTTCCCTACCTACCTACCTGGATTTTTTTCAGGCCGTTACCGTAAACACACCATTTTTTTGTTTGGCCTGACAAATGATCTACATGTGTAGAGAAGTCTCTACCTTCCAAAAACGGACAACTGGAGATGTACTAAAGTACATGAATCATTTTGTCGGTATCCTTTAAAGGATGTTTGAATTCTTCTGATTTTAGATTCCCCAAAACAAACTGGAGCCATCGGAAACATGGGCACAGTCAGCGGTAGAAACAATCCTATCATTACTGGTTCAGGTGAAGTTACTGTCACTTACAACTTGTCGTCAGATGGAGCAGGTAAATATGATCTTGTTTGTTACACTACTTGATATCTATATTATCAGATATTATTGTATATTTTGTAGGGGAGGGGGATGGAGATGATAGACTACACAAACATGGACACAAAAGACGGATTGCCAATTCCACGAAAGAGTCTACATTTTTTGTTGCTACGATATAAACCAGTTTGTAATAAGATATGGTGACGACATTAGGAGTCTTGTAATGTGTTCTTTATATACCCACACCAAATGGCACCCCGTATTGTGTGTGTCACATTGGGAAGAAAAAAAAGTGGGGGGGAAAAATGGAATCAAGTTTTGGAGGCCTCCAAATGCAGTTACCAGTTTTTTGTCTGAATTTATTGTTGTCAGTGTAAAAAAAAACAATGTGTAAATACTATTAAACAACATCTGACAAGTTTGTGTCGAACAGATGGTACAAAAGCCAAAATATTCATTTGATTATTTTTTTTGGGGGGGGGCAAATTTATTTTTTACACTGCCTTACTAACGAACTGTAAATCTCAAGTCACCATTTCTTTTATATGTTTGCCTCAGTAGAGGAAGACTATTCAATCATTTCAGAAACAATGTTAAACTGAAATAATACATGTACATTCAATATAGGGTTTTGCCCTCCACCGACATACATGTATTGTATAAACACTGTATAGACAAATCTGGGGGCAGCCATTTACTGCAGTGTCGAAAAAGGCTCGCGCGAGTTGCGCTCAGGTATGTATACCCACACTTCGGGCTCCTTCCACCAACAGGAATACCAAAATGCGCGCGCCTCGTCTTTAAGAACGCGAGCAGCATGCGCGTGAGCGTGACACCACCGCAGTAAAAGCTGATTCTGATCACTGGATTCCACTATACTGAGTGTTGTCTCGAGTGTTCATGAGAAAAAATCACTTTGGTGGGACTCGAACCTATGACCTCCTGCTTACTATAACATGTACTTGTTGCTTGTTTGACCTCAACAGGAGTACATCCGCAGAATCAGGAACCAGACCAAGTACCGAGAGTGGGGGATCTCAACCAAGACGTCGGTAACAAGACCAGGGACATTTTGAGGACATGTTACAAGACAACGGGTAGCTATGTTCAGTTGAACCCTGGGGCTCCCGATGATCAAAGACCTATTGTTGGCATTTACACTAAATTGCGGGTTAGAACAAAGAAAGGTACTTTAGAAGAAGAATTCTGTGACAAAACTGTATATTCCACAGAGTATGAGAAAGTATTGAAAGATTGGCCTGAGACTGAGTTCAATCGTGCTATTGTATTTGGCATTGGTGGTGTCGGGAAGTCAACCATTTTTGACAAGATTGCATATGACTGGGCCGATGAGGCATGTGAAATCCTGAAAAGATTCAAGCTTGTCTTTCTTTTAAAGATGTATGCCCTGTTCCAAGAATCTGATCTTGTTGATTCCATTTTTGATCAACTTTTAGGCGTAAAGTCAGGAGTAGCCAAAGATGAACTTGATCAATATATTCAGGACAACTCAAATAAGGTGTTGATACTTTTGGATGGTTTTGATGAAATGAGGACCAAAACACTTGATGCAGCCTCATTCGGCTCTATCCTAAAAGCGCTCAATAGAACAGAATACAGGAAGTGTTGCATTTTTGTCTCAACCCGCCCCTCTCATCTTGAGACACTGATGTCAAAATCACTTGTCCAAAATCCTTGCACACACGTAGAGGTTCTGGGGTTTACCAAGGAAGATGTTAATGAATACATTCAGAAATTCTATTACGAAGATCCTGATAGTGGCAGTGCACTGATCCAAAACATTGAAAAATCCAACACACTGCTCGATTTCTCCACGAATCCAATGCTTCTCCTTCTCATGTGTTTGTTGTGGAGGGAGAAAAAACAACTCCCCGAAACAACTTCACGCCTCTTCACTGAGGCAGTTGAATACATGTTCACAAGAAAAGGATATAGCTCCGAAGATGCATCAAAAACAGTGATTGCTATAGGAAAAACTGCACTGAGTGGTTTCGTAAGTGCCGACCAGAATTTCTCATTTCAAAAAGATGAGTTTGAACCAAATGCGCTGGACCTGGCACTGAAAGCGGGCATCCTAACCCAGCAGAGAGTTATCAAAAACCTCAAATGCCACAACAACATACAATTCATGCACAAGACTATTCAGGAATACTGTGCTAGTAAATACTTGCAAAGTGTACATATGTCAAACCCAGGATTTGTAAAGCGTACAGTTTACAAATTTGTTCCATTTGGAGAATTTCAAAACAATTTAAGGCAACTATGTCAGACAATTGAGGGTATTGTTTCAAATGATTTCCTTTTGCGTTTTTGTTGTGGTGACAATGAAAAGTGTATGTTAGACATTGTAACCTTGCTTGAACGTAAATTCAAGGAGCAAAATAAGCCCGGGTGCATGTACCAAAAAGCTGTTACACAAGCTATCAGTAGACAATGTTTTTTTGAAAGCCAATCCAAAAAGGTCCCACGGTGTCTCACCAGCTACTCACTCATCCCATCAGATATCAAGGTGAATAACAATACTGATTTCCGCATTCTCATATACCTTCTTGAAATCATCTGTAGGTCAGAAGTCCAGGCACCACAACTGTCACGCATTGAAACCATTAGGGTTTCTTCTCAGGTGTCTTCAGTCAGTGGTTTAGCCTTTGCCGTGGGTTACATGGAAAACCTCAGTCATCTGATGCTCTGGGGTTGTCCTTTAGTGAAGGGTGAGCTTGAGAAAATCCTGTCATCACTGAAATGCAACTATCTCTTGACCAGTCTTGTCATACAGCGTTGCATGACATTGGGAGGTAGAGCTGTAGAATGGGCCCCTCATATCAAACACTTGACAAGCCTTGAGAAACTTAGAGTAAGGTGGTGCCAACTTCAGAGCACAGACATTGAACACATTGCCTCGGCTGTACATGACATGCCCAAACTGACTGCCTTGAACCTTCCTGCCAACATGACATTGAGCGAATCCAATGACTTGTGGGCCAAGGAATTGCCCAAAATGATGCACTTAAATAAGCTGGACCTGAGCTGGTGCGATTTGACACAGTCAGACATTCCACACATTGCCTCGGCTGTAGGTGACATGCCCAAACTGACTGACTTGGATCTTGGTATCAACGAGACATTGGGTGGATGTGCTGCAGTGTGGGCCAAGGAATTACCCAAAATGATGCACTTAAATGAGCTGAACCTGTGCAGTTGCAATTTGACAAGGTCAGACATTCCACACATTGCCTCGGCTGTAGGTAACATGCCCAGACTGACTGACTTGAATCTTGTTGGCAACGGGGCATTGTATGGATGGGATAAGTTACAGTCCTTCTTCCCATCACTTAGGGTTGCATTGTAATTCTCCCTTGCCAAGCTCACTTTTGAATTACATGTACTAGGCATAACAATATCAAAATGATAACATTCTCAATAAAAGGAAATGAAATTTACAAGAAAATCAACAAAATTAGAGGGTCTAATGTTTCAATCCTAAGCAGGACCATTCTCACAATAGATCATCAGTAGGTTCATCCTGCATGTAAGACAATTAGCTGTTCACCATTGAAAAAACAATACTATAAAATCAGGGACCTGTGCAAATTCCAAAAACAGATAATTAAAAATGTGTTATTCCAGGATGTCTGCTTGCAATTTAAACAAAAACATCATAACACATTCTGGATTCAGATGGTCAGTAGGGTCACATGACACCGTAGTTTGTCATCAAAGTCAAACTGACACTCTTAAAGCCCAGGTTTAGATATAACCCTGCATCCGGGACAGATTGGACCAAAATCTGGGTCAAAATAAATTTTTTTGGTCAAATGGCTTGAAAGGTGACTCAAGAGAAGCGTGATTTTGACCCGGAAAAATGTCAGGTCAAATTTGAGCTGGATTTGGGTCGAATCTGACCCATGACATATGAGAGTGTCTATGATTTGCTGATTGGGTCAAGGAGAATGGACAAGGAACTGTAGATTCGTGCTAAGAATGGACGGGGCAAATCTTGCACAAATCTACAGTTCCAAGCTGTCTATTCTCGGACTTAAAATTTTTTTTTGAAAACGTTAGTTGATGCAAATAAGATCCCTGGTTTACCATTTTGTGAATCTCCATTTTGTGAATAAGTGGAGATTCCACATCTGGAAACTTTTTGAAGTGGCAAACAAAATGACTGTAGACCTCAAATCTTTACGTGTGTGCATGAAAACATCACTAATTCGAAAACCCAGTGGATATATGGTATTTGTTGATTTCGGAGGCTGTATGGTTGGTTTGGTCCATTTCCAAGTTGAGACTTGTTGACCTGACAACAGTTGTATTGATGTATCACGTTTAAACAATGAGAAGTTATCGTATGTAATTATTCCAAGATGGAAAACATGTATATTTTGTTAATAAAGTATATTTTTGGAGACTCATTGGCCAAGTGGCTTAATTGTGCTTGTATAACGGATCAAAAAATGAAGTTTTACCCTGAGTAGTTTTGGATTATTTCAGCCACCAATTAGTGACTTTTTTGTAAATAATTTTTTAAAGAATGTTTATGTTATATTTTGTTTATAGTTTTTCTCGGTCAATTTCGGCAGATGAGCAGCTAATTTAACCACTACGCTATTCTATTTCGCGCGAAATCAAATGCTACTGAAAAGGGTCATTCGATTTCGTTTTATGACCAGTCAAATGTACTGTTGCGTCATTCGATTTAACAAAATAATCATGCAATTTAACAATTCAACAAAGCAGCATTCAAATTCGCAGGAGCTTTTTGAGGCGTGCGTTTAGTCATTCAAATTCAGTTTTGGGCAGTCATTTCTGGAATTTGTGCAATCTAAAAAACGCTTTGTTAAATTTTTGTTTCCTTAAGAATGCTGAAGGCATAAATACGGTTCACTTTTTGGCACTTGAGTCACTTTGCCGATGTACTTCGAAGACGAGCTTTCGCTACAGTTTTACACGCATATTTCTAGAAATGGCAGCTCGTGGTCGCTACGTTAGAGTGGCCCAGGTAGATCGAAAAAGGTTGATTGAGGCCTTCGAGGGAAACGAGCAAGACTACCTTCAGCTTGCGGTCAATTTGAACATCAACAAATCCACAGCCAGATCAATTGTTGCAACATATTTGAGGACTGGAAGGCGAGAGACGCTGGCAAGAGGAGGAGCAACCCACAGCAAGATGGATGATGACATGCGAAACCATCTGCAAGGCATCCTTGACGCTAATCCCGTCTTGACACTTCAACAAATGAAGGCTCGTTTGAGTGAGCATCTGCCAGAGAAGCCCCAGGTTTCTACTGCCACCATAGCCAGGGCCTTGGATGGGATGATGATTACACTGAAACTAGTGGAGGACGTCCCTGATGCAAGAAATTCCCCTGAAGTTCTTGATCAACGCGTCCAGTATGGTGAGTGGTTCCTGCAGCATGGTGTTCTGGCGCATCTAGTCTTCATTGACGAGACAGGTTATAACGTCTGGACTCGACGCTCCCAGGGTAGAGCTCCACGAGGGATCGCTGCAAGACGAGTCGTCGACAGACAACGAGGGAGAAATTGCAATGTCACCTTCGCTGTTTCTAGTGAAGTAGGCTTGGTGCACCACCGAATCGCATTCGAAACTGTGACGCGAGAGAGATTCGAGGAGTTTCTTGCGGACACAATTCAAGAGTGTGATGCAGTTTTCCCAGACGATATGCTAAATTGAACACAGTGCTAAAGGAATTTGAATGCCTCAAAACGAAATTGAATCGCCGAATTCTGAATTTGAAACGCAGTAACAACTGGAGAGGCAAAATAGCTTCAATTCGAACGCACAAAAATTAAATCGGCTGCTCATTTGCCGAAATTGACCGAGAAAACCTATATTAGGCTGCCTGAATATTATTGTACTTATGGCAGACATTTAAAAGAGTAGTTTGGGATTATTCCAACCACAAAATAGTGACTTTTGTTGAAAATAATGTTTTTAAGAATTTTAATTTTATATTTTGCTCATATTTTGTGTAAACATTGGTGCAAAAGTTAGTGGGAAGATCAGTTTTAAAAACTGCAAAAGATGAAGGAATCACTGATTTGACCAGCATTGGGGGGGGGGGGGGGTGGTTACCTTAGCAAATGTTTTCGGGATCATTGTATAGGTCTCGTTCAAATGACGTCATTTCCTACAGTCCCGCCATGTGCGTTAAATACGCAGTTGCAGTTCTCCTACAGAGATGACCATCATTGAGTGAGCCTATTCATTGAAAATTAAAATTATTCAGTGAAATATGAAAACAAAGGATATTCTTTTTCTTCTTCAAATAAATCACAAAGGGCAACTGACTAGTTGCATACAATTTTGTTTGTATTGTAAAAACATCCAAAGAATATTCTGACATATTTGGATGTAAATGAGAGTAATGTCAAATTCACTGATTGTATTTTTCAGTGGCTGAAAATGCTGCAAATTTTCTTTATTTAAGAAGTTTTTCAATTAAAAGACTTTGTTGGCATTTATATCTGTATTCACATATTAATTAACCTACTTTTAAAAAATAACTAGAAAATTCTCTTTTTTTTTGCAAGTAGGGCAAGTCCAAGAAAAGGTCCCTGTGGTCCCATACGTAACGTACAATGTCTTCTTAATCACAAAAACTAACACAAATTTGTTTTTTTGTACGGTATATTTTCCTTTCAGATGCCCAATAGTAGAATGAAAAAGCACACACAGATGATTGCTTTTTAGAGGATTAAACTTTCCCAGGACGTAGCGTGTGTGAATTCTTGGACTTGCCCAGTAATATGGAGTAGACATATGGATTGCATTCAGGTTCCATATTAAAATACATGATGTTAGTATCTCACAATTGTTTCTGGTGTGATCATTTTGTGTCAGTCACATTCTGTTGTATTGCATTTTACCTTAAGATGAGTATGTGAGGAAGAGTGTATAGTGTGTGACTTTCTGGTTTGCTCAGAATTGAATGGTTCAAATCCACCATCATCCCTGTCCTCTTTGACAGATATTCAAACACAATCCAGCCCATGTGTTTATCAGATACCCGATTACCCTACTATCTGTAAACTCACAGCCCAGTACTTCAATGAAGGAGATGGGTCATAGGCCAGCCTCAAGTTGAACTGCGATTTGTTTGCACCGCGTTGGAACTAGCCTTGGTCAAGGTGTTCGTTGATAATGTCTGTGATGGTATCTGACATGCGCTGGGCATGCGCTATGCACTGTATAAAGCACTATTGACGAACACCTTGACCAAGGCTAGTTCATTCACGGCACAAGTAAAAGGCTAGTCAAGAAGCGGCAACCTGTTTTGTTTCTGACCTTATACATGTATATGTTTTGATTTTTACACGTTGGACTGAATCAGTTTAAAGGGAATATACAACATTTGCAAACATCGAAAAATAAAACTACCAAGTTTTTGCGAAATACCTTAATAGGATGTTGGTAAATGACAGTCTAAAGCATCCTGTAAAATTATGGCACCTGGTATACTGTCATTTTCAAGAAAATTGGTATTTTTGTATCAATTTCCAACGCTGATCGGCCGATCAGCGTTGGAAACAACTGGTTTTTTTTCAAATACTGGCCACAATTGACCATTGCACTTGTTTGCAATCGATTACAAACCTATGAACGGGTACGGGCCAGCTAGACTGGTTCCCTGACCTTACAATTCCCCATTGTATGTAAACTGCTCTGTTTCTTCTTATATGGAGTCAGGGAACCAGACTACAGGAAAATGATCGTTTTTCTTGGTTTTTATAGCATTTTCGAACCCAAACCTCCAAAAAGTCAGTGTAACTATATTTGCTTCATATTTCCAACCCCCCAATTCCATCCATTTCTGAAAATTACAGCAAAAGCAAATGATGTATATTCCCTTTAATGAAAATGCCTGTATTGTAGGTCACTCTCAATTACTCATTCCCCGCCCTCCCCCCCCCCCCCCCCCCCCCAAAAGGCACGCAAAAATAAAGGGATAATATGAACAAGCATTGAACTTAATGACCATTTTAATGGAATAAATATGCATTTGGCCGGTTTGAAACAAGTACGTTTAAAACCAGCTAGTGTCTGGTTGCCAATAATGACCCAGCCGAAGGCGAGGGCCATGCCATGCCCCTAGCCGGTTTGAAACATTCAGCCAAGCACATAGAAATTCCCACATATAAATACCTTGTAATCAAAAAGTCCGCAAAACAAGTCTACAAATCACAAATCAGTGTTAGTTCGTGAAAAAGAAAATGTATGGATTGCACGCATCCGGTGCCACACTGTGCCGGCTGTTACTTCGTGAAAACGAAAATAACATGGTTCTGTAAAAAAAAAAATGCATGCGTGCTTGGCACCCATGCAGAACTGAGGATTACTTCGTGGTCACGGTGTCGGTAACGAATTGCCTACCTCACGCTAAAATGCTGACCTGCAAATCCTGTACGTTGGCAACGTCCATGAAGTGAATTTTATTGAGGAACATATTTTTTTACTTTTAAGAAACATCAAAGTTCATTGAACCTGCTATGATACATTATCCACAACATTGTATTTATTAGGAAAATATGAAGGTTACAAAAGTAATGGGCTTTTGGATGTTCAATAGATTAAGCAGTTACAATAGCCGCATCAGTTTGCTTAGCCTACGTGTGTTACGCCCCAACTTGGTCGTCGGTCCCAATATATGTTGGGACTGTCCGAACTTGGGTGATCCAGTTGGGCAGGCCCAACTTGGGCAGCAACCATTGCCATGATTTTTGTCGAGCAAAACGATGATAAAATTAAAGTAGGCCCTTGGGATGAGGACTGGCTGGACAGGGCTACATGTAGGATGCTTGGTCCTACTGTCCGGATGGGAGGACCAAGGGCACACGCTCAGGCCGGGCCTGGGAGCTCAGAGGCAAATCAAACATGTCGTCTTTTTACAGCAACTTCCAGGGTAGCCTTGTTGTATAAATGGCTCAGTTTGTCTGATGACACTTTGCAGCACATGGCCGTGGATGTGGTCATCGTGTACGCTCGTTGGTAAATGCGCGCCCTCTAACATCCATGTATGAGTAGCAGTGCCCAACCCAAGTTAGGCCTGCCCATTGGGACAGTCTCAACATAAGCTGGGTCCGACAACCAAGTTGGGGTATAACACATGTATGAGGATTCTTGAAATCATTTTGTGGTCTAGTCTCTTGTTTCCAAATCGACAAAAGTGTGAAAAGTGAGGCACAATATTATCTTTCTTGTTTGATAAGCTGTACGATAATACACAATGGAAACATTCCCATATCTTTTGTTCATTTCTACCAGAATCTTACATCTAATTGTCTTGTGGATTTGTTGTTTTTATCATTCCAGCATGTGACGTACCTGGAGGTCCTGTTGGAGGTCAAACAAAGGTCACCCTTCGAAACGAACACTTGCAATTCATTGCTACAGGGTGAGTACCATCAATACTTGAGAAATTCAAGGCATTATTTGAAGTA